GCTTACCTCAACTTGTTTGATGTTGCATTATTGAAGACGCTCAGGGTGAGAGCGGTCCCGTGGCCCGATGATGTTCGGGTAGGGTTTAGCGTCAGCTGCTTAGGCTTGGGGGGGGGCCTGTAGGTCCTCTTGCCTGGGTCTGGTTGGGTTCCCCTCTGTTTGGGTTGCTTAAACCCTGGGGTTCTGTTGACCTGGTGTCCTGGGTCTGGTTGGTTTTCCCTCTGTTTGGGTTGCTTAAACCCTAGGGTCACGTTGACCTAGTGTCAGTTAGCCGCAGTGTGCTCAGATGTGAGGTGAGCTGTTTGTCAGTTCATGGCACTGCGGTTGATTGGTTTTTGAGCATTGTTTTTCCTTGGTGCTGCCATGGAGCATTCTGATCTGTCGGAAGCGCTCCGCATAAATTGGCAAAACTTGGCGCCCCCAGAGTGCAGCATGCCTTGGGAAAACAGCGCAGTTGGTGTGGCGTTGGGGCGCACCTCCTGGATGCAGTTATACGTCCCAGCCCATGCCTGAATCGAATCATTCCAAATGTGAAAACCTTGTCGCGCAGCCTGCGAAGCGTCGGAAAGTCCAAGCTGGTGTTTTCAAACGCTACCAAAAGCTTCACCGACCCAACCAAGTTGATGAAGATGCGCGACGGGTTTCAGTGCTCCAGCAATGGGCTGCTGTGATCATGTCTTGCCCAGCTGCTTCGCAGGTCGGTCGCGAAGTCTTGCGCTCAGTGGGCTCCAAGCCAAGCCCTGAGGCACTGCCGCAATGCCAAGAGATTATTGATGACATTGTGGCAATGAAGTCCACTGCGACATTGGTCAAACGAGTTGGGGCCATTCGCCGCTTTGTGCTCTGGTGCGCACCTCAGCACTCCCCACCACTGCCTTTTCGGGAAGATTTGCTCCACAGTTATTTACAACATTTGAGGGAGCAACGTGCTGCCGCCTCCAGCGGCACCACTTTTCTTGAGGCTGTGCGATTTGCCGCGGCAATGTTTGGCATTGATGGCATCAGTGGTGTCAGCAAGCGCCTTGTAGGCTTGGCCTCCAAAATGGCGATCAATTCACCTGCCCTCCGCCAAGCACCGGCTCTGTTAGTAGATCATGTGATTGCCTTGGAGCAAATAACTGCTCATTCTGATGTGCTTCAAGATCAAGCGCTAGCTGGTTCTTTATTGGTCCTTTTGTATGCTCGTTGTCGCTTCGGCGATGGTCAGCGTGCCACAGAACTCTTGTTGGACATTGCGCAAGATGCTTCGGGCCAAACGACGGGTTTCATCGAGTTGTCCATCAGACGGCATAAGACTGCAACCAGCATTGAACGGAAGCGCCGCATTTTACCTGTTGTTGCACCGATCTTTTCTCTATCGGGCATAGCGTGGCATGATGCTTGGGTAAGGGCGCGCGAACAATTAGGCCTATGCGCAGAAGGAGAACTGAGCGCACCATTGTGCCCTGCATTTGACCGTGAAGGCGCCCCGCTCCCAAATGGTTTGACTTCGGGCGAAGGGAGTGAATTGCTGCGTGGCTTGCTGCGAGCACACTTGGGCGCGGAAGTGCCGCACTACACTTCCCATTCCTTGAAGACTACCTTGCTATCATGTGCAGCCAAATTTGGCCTTGATCTAGCCTCCAGGCGAATTCTTGGATATCATCTGGCGCCCGGCGCCAAAACTGCAGAAACTTATGCTAGAGATTGCATGGCGGCTCCTTTACGGCAATTGCTTGGTGTGCTTGAAGCCATTCGCGCTGGGAGTTTTCAGCCAGATGTGACACGCAGTGGCATGTTCAGCGTTGCAGCTAGCCCTGGGGGGGCCCACTGCAGCCGCATCAGCTACAGGACACCAGGCCGCCTCCGATACTGAGGAAGAGAGTGCAGAGGAGTGCCTTGACCAGATTGACGAGCTGTCTGAGTGCTGCTCGCGCGGTTCAGCTGAAGCGCCCGTAGATCTTGACGACGATACTGAATTGCTGAAACTGCTGCCTGCAAAAGCTCGCCCAAAATTTCTGCAAGCTGCTGCCGGCAAGCGAATTTTTCGACACAAGTACTTGGGGCTCTACCACATCCAGAAGGAAGATGGTACCGCGCTGGAGTGTGGAAAGTTGCTGACGGACAATTTCGTTGAGGTGGAAGCTCGCGCTGAAACCGCTGTAAAATGCAAAGGCTGTTATGTGGCGTCCAAGTCCGCCGTTGTAGCCATTGAGTAGTATAGTTGCTGTAGGTGTACAGCCTTTTCTTGAGCTTAGGGGACAGCGGGTCAAAACTTTCAGACCTTTGTTGGTCAATGTCAACAGCAGTTAAGGCAAATGTGCCTTGTCTGCTTGCCGAGGAATGCCTGGCACCAGCATGTTTGGTGGATTCGCCACCCATCCCCTGCAGGTGTTTGGACACGAGGGGTTGGTTTCCCTGTTTGGGTTGTTCTTCGGGGCCTTCCCCGTGTGGGTGTCGGTTGTGTTTTCCGAGCCAGGGAAGATCGTGCGCGACCGACCCCGTGTTCCTTTGCCAATGGGCCCAGCTTGTTTGATTTAGAATCTCCTGAGTCGTACTTTGTGATTCTTTTTCGAGCGCCATGGCGAATTTGACTGACAGTGGGGCCGCTTTTTGCCACCGGATGACTGAGCTCGAGTTTGATATCTTCCCGTCTTTGACTGAGAAAAAAAAAGGGTCTGCTGGACCAAGGCTTGAACAGCTTTGCGAAATTGGCTTTTGCGGCGTCCAATCAGCCAGGCCAGATCGATGAAACAAAGTTTGGGAAGCTCGTAACCACCTGCTTTCCATGCGCCTGGACTTAAATTGCCCGCTGCGTCTCCAGCAAGCATTGACGCGCCGGGCCCTTGCTGCAGACCAAGCTGGCGTGGTATCTTTTGCGGCCTTGGACATGGTGACGCACGGTTTCCTGGCGCATTTGAACCGGCCAGTTCCACCAGGGTTTGATGGCCCTTCGGTGAGCTCTGTGATCCGCGCCGACCAAGAACTGTGGAAACTGGTTGCCGACGCGGCGGGCTCGAAGATCCAGGCTGATGCCACAGGAACAAAACCTCTCGATGCTTTATTCCAGAAAATGAGCTCGGAAGCCACTGTGGTTTTCCATCTGCTCCCAACACCGAAGGGAGCTGGTGGTGACAAGCCATACAAGAAGACCAAGAAGCGTCCAGTCAGTTCCGGATCAGAGGACTCTGAGCCCAAGCGCAGGAAACCAGACAAGCCTGGCAAGTCGAAGCGCGCTGCAGTGCCCAAAGCTCTGAAAGGCCTATCTGCGCGCAACAAGAGAGGCGTTCCATATTGCTTCAATTTCAATTTGGCCCATGGTTGCACCGGAAAAGCTAGTGGCACACCTTTGCGCTGCTCTCGAGGACTCCATGCGTGCATGAAGTGTGGGCGCGAGCATGGCCAACACGAATGCCGCGACTGACTATCAGCTGGTGGTGCTCTATGCCTTGAGATCTCTGCAGGCGATCCAAGTATCGCGCCGCATTTGCGACAGCGTGGTTTGCCAGTTCTACATTTGAAGCACAATTTGCAAGCGCCTTTGCAGCGGGAGCTCTTGCAGGAGCTTTTGGACTCCGATTCAATTTTTTGTGCAACTTTCAGATTGCTGCCTGATTTTGATTTGCGCAATGGTGTTTTGGATTGGGTTCTGGCGCAATGTGTTGAGCTGCATGAAAGAAACTGCTTGTGGTGCATCTGCGGGAACTCAGATCACAATTTTTGGCAACGAATTGAAGAATTTTGGTGCAATTCTGAACGCAATTATTGGAAGGTGACTGTTGACTTGTGTGAATATGGTATGCGCTCCTGCTCTTCTTTCACGATACTGTGCAATACGTCAGCGTTCTGCGCATTGCAGCGCCTTTGTTCACATGACCACAGGGTAAGCCCCAGCAACATGGAGCAACAGTTACCCGCCGCTTTTTGCAAACACTGGTCTCACTTATTCGAAGATTTGGTTTCTGGCTCTGGTTGGTCCGGGGTTGACCCCGGTGTTCCTGATTTGCAAAACCGCGCAAGTTTGGGTTGGCAACCACGTGGGTGCAAATTACCACCACTTTTGACTGACTTTCTTGAACCTCAGGCGTACGACGTTGCCGAGCATCCGGATCTCGCTGACATTTTACCTGGGTGCCGCATTCCTGACGGTCTGGGTTTTCCAAAAGGATCGAGGGTCTTGCGTGGTGCTGGTCAAAATGGTTTTGCGACGCTGGGCTTGCCTCGCGAACCCTTAGCTTTTTTGAGCGCAGCGAGCGAATTAGTACACCCAGTGGAGCGGGCCGGCCAAGTGAGTTCTGCCATAGCAGCTGCAGTGGCTTCGCATCGAGAGCTGACACCTCTAGATTTGCTCAAAGCACGGCAGCAGTTTTTCCGCCAGGCTTTGGAGACTATCAAAAACTTGAGTGCGCGCGAGGCACAGCTACATGAGAACATGCCATCGCACCTCGCCAAAGTTATGCGGGGCAAGCGCTTATTGTTTTTGGATAAGCTGTTGACAGACATTGGCCATCCAGACGACACTTTGTTTAACAACCTATCCAAAGGTTTCCCCTTGTTTGGTTGGTTGACAAAGACCGGGCTTTTTCCTGAAAGTTGGTGTCCTCCTGCCCTTCATCCTAGTGAACTGTTACGTGTTGCGCGGAAGCAAAATCACTGGGTATTGAATTCCTCTCAGCGCGGCTCCCATCAGCTGGAGATCGATGAAGCGGTGTGGCGCACCACAATGGACGAGGTCAACAAGGGTTGGGCCGAGGGCCCCTTTTCTCTCGTGGAAGCCGAAGGCATGACAACAAGTCAGCTCATCGTCTCAAGACGCTTTGGCGTGGCACAAAAGACAAAGGTTCGCGCAATTGACGATTTCTCTGCTAGCAACATCAATGCGTGCACTGGCACCAAAGAGAAAGTCCGGGTCGAAAGTGTCGACGCAGCCGCCACCATGATCCGCACTTGGATGAAAGCTTTTGAAGGCACTGGCCGCGCCCTAGTCGGCCGTACCTATGACCTGAAGTCAGCTTATCGCCAACTGGGCATCAGCGCCGAACACTTGCATGCTGCTTGGATTTCTGTATTTGATCCATCCGGCCAGGGCGCAAAACTTTTTCGCCTCAATGCCTTGCCTTTTGGGGCGTCAGCGTCTGTCTCCAACTTTTTGCGTTGCGCAGAAGCCTTGAAAGCCGTTGGGGCCAAGCTGCTGAATTTTGCGTGGACTTCATTTTTCGACGACTTCATTTTGGTCACCCCCGCTGACATGGCGTCCGAGACAGACAAAGCGGTCAAGCTTTTCTTCAAATTGTTGGGGTGGACTCTCGCATCAGATGACGAGAAGTGCAAACCTTTCTCCACGACTTTCACTGCGCTTGGTGTGGTTTTTGACTTGACCGAAGCTCCGGCAGGCATTCTGCGCATATCGAACACTGCCTCCCGGAAACTGGAGCTATCCGGTGTCATTGATGACGTACTGGAATCCAAGCGGCTCAGTGCCAAGGCAGCTTCTTCATTGCGGTCGCGGCTGAATTTTGCGGACGCTCAAATTTTTGGCCGCTACGCCAAGAAGGCCTTGCAGCTATTGGGCGAGCATGCAGCATGTCCTTCTTCTGACGTTGTAGATGGGGGTTTACTTTTGGCTCTGAAGTGGCTAAAAGAAAGGGTACTGCAAGGAAGCCCCAAAGTGGTGTCCATTCAAAGGCGCCCAACCTGGCTGCTTTTCTTGGACGGAGCGTGTGAAGGCGAGGGTGCCTCTCTCAGCTGCTCCATTGGAGCAGTCTTGGTACATAAAGATCTTGGTGCCAGAGCATGTTTTGGAGAAACACTGCCCGCCGGCATTGTTGACATGTGGCATAGTAGAGGAGCCTCACAGCTCATTTTCGAAGCCGAGCTTATGCCGTACCTGGTGGCGCTGAGATCATGGGCAGATCTCCTGAGAGGGACCCAGGTTTTAATTTTCATCGACAATGATGCGGCAAGGCATGCCTGGATTACGGCTGGAGCCAAATCACCCTTTGCTTCTACCATGATTCATGAGGCTTTAACACTGGAAGCCTCCTTAGATGTTGCTTCATACTTTTGTCGTGTGCCTAGTCACTCGAACCTGGCCGATGATCCTTCCAGATTAGTGTTCACGGCGTGTGAACGTTTGGGGGCTCACAGGCATCGGATTGACGAGCATTTCCTTTTTGAATGTGCTGGTGCTTGCTGATGTAGTGGGGGGGTGTTTATGGTCCCCATCATGTTAGGCATGCTTGGGCCATGGTGGTCTGTGGAACAGATCAGGCCATGGTGGTCTGTGGAACAGATCACCTGGCGTGTTCCCCCCATATCTTCCAGTCTTTGACTGAGAAAAAGAAAGCCGACCGAGTGTAGTGACTGGGAAGGAGGCCGCTTGGGACGGGGTCCGGATCATGGGTGCTGCCCAGCACTGGAGCCACCGTGTGTTTGGGTCCTCGAACGTTTGAAGCTTGTGCTGATGTTCTTTGGTTTGTTGCCTTGTGCTGGCAGGTGCTCACCCTTGCTGTTACCAATAA